CCCCCCCCCCCGACCGTGGCGACCAACGCGAACATCAGGACCGTCGTCCTCCTCAACAGAGCAACGACCGATGTAGTATTGTGGAGAGTGCACGAGTGCGTTCACTCGTGTTTCATGCGCTCCGCGAGTGCTTCGCGCAAGGCCACCACCCGGGGCCGATTGAAGTTCTCCGCAATGGGGTGGGGTGGATGATCCATCCCCAAGTCCACTCGCTGACGCATACCATTTCCGTCCACCTCCCACAACAAGTTGTCGTCGAAGTCGATGTCGGCATCCAGGAGGATGTTGTGCAGAATGCACGCGGCTTGGAACTGTTGCGGGAGAGTGTCCATATTAGTTTTGTGTGTGTGGAGGAACAACCTTCACATCCCCTTCAGACTACCAAAAGCTCTCTCCACCGCTCCTCTGGCGAACTTCTGCTTGTTGTCGAACCTCTCCTCGTCGGGGATTTAATCGGTCCCTCCAAAAGGCACCACGATCCACTCCATGGGAGGATAACCATTATTGCCAAGGGTGGACCCGTGTGTTTGCACCCCGAATAGAAGGAGCACAACAGGACCACGAAAAATATCCCCCTCTCCAGCACGCGTTCATAGAGTGGACAACTGAAGCACTCGAATGTTGTGACAGTTCCCCGGATAGCCGACGAAAACGTCTGTCACACACAAGTCCAAGTCCACAACCACCTGCGCAACCACCGAAAAACGATGCTTCCGGTCGAAATAGTTCTCGAACGGCGCGTTGGCTGGTTTGTCCACGTAGATGTGCGTGCAGTCTATGCAGCCATAGCAGTTGGGGAAACCCTTGGCCTGGAACGCGCGCAGAATGACCAGCCACGCGAGCGGGGCTTGACAACTTCCCCGAAGGCGTCTTTGACCGCGCCACGCAGCGGGGCCAGGGCAACCACTGGGACCTGTTGACACGTGATCCATAAAAATCTGTGTTTCAAGACTTCCCTCCACTCCCACAATTTCTGCTCCGTCATCCACGACTCGAATGAAATCATGTAGTCCCTGTTGTCTAGAGTCAGTTTAGTCAGTCGTGGCTGTTGCTACATACGTGACTAAGTTTCTCCCCTCATTATGAAATAAACCACGATTTGGAGGGGCTGATACTTCACTACTTGTAGCCCAGGCATTTTCATACATACGAACTAATCTTTTTTTTACATCGATTGATAGAGATGTTGACTCATCGCCAAAGAAGATTGAGACCGCATGCTCTTTCAACCATTCCGCTTGGATACGATACAATTTGGGATTGAATGTGACTCTTACATAATCATCTCCGACTTCCACTTGGTTTGGGGTGAGTTTCTTTGTGAGAACTCCATCTCTGTAACATTTCGCGAATATTTCCCTGGTTTGAGCTTCTCCCCTTCTGGCATCGTCGAGGGTTTTTGAATGCTCGAAGAGGTTGCCATCCCAAAATATTACTCAGATGAAGGCCAACTAGTGCATGCTCTTCTTGCCGCTCGTTTTACTTCGTAAATCAACTTTAGTAGGTATGTTATCATAAACGAATCTATAATAATAATACAGGCTTCAATGAATAATAGGGATAAAACAGTCTCTCCCACCTCGGGAAGTGTGTGGATTTTACTTGGGTCTTTGGGTCTGGCGCAGTTAACGTTATCCCTTTGTCTCCTTTGTAACCAATCAATTGGTTGCGTCCCCTCCCGCCTAGGGAGGTTTTTTTTTTTTTTTTTTTTTTGGGGGGGGCGGGGGGGAGGGGGGAAGCGAGAATTCCATTATAGACCATCCCCTAAGGCCGGGAATCCTCACAAACAGCCCGGAACGACTCAAAACAAACTCAACTCCTGGGCAAGGCCCAACCAGTGTTTAGTGAGCACCTTGCTCACGACTCATAAAAAAAAAAAAAACAGGCTGAAAACCCACCCAATAACC